GGATCGAGCCGAAACGCCGCGACGTCGGCGTCATCTACAATGGAGGAGGGGTGGGGAGGCCGGAGGGGGTAGGGTTGCGCCCCGGATCGCGAGAGCGGGAGGAGACGGGGGCGTCAAGGGCGCGCATACCGGCAACGCTGTAAATTTTGAATCGTAATCGAAGAGAGACAGTGGTATAAGGGCAGATCGCGCAGTCAGGACAGATTAGACCATCTCTAGCAGACCGTAAAAATTAGTACCGCAAAATATGTTTTCGATACCTCCAAATGTTTTTCTTAGGGAAACGTTTCCCCACGGCGCGCCGGCCGAAACTCAGGCCAGTCGCGTCGCATGCGGATGTGAATCACGTGTGCCCCTTGTGTAGGACTGTCGTCGCCCGCTTGTGTCCCCTGCGTCGGCACCGCCACGCGCCCTCGCGCCTTTTTTGATGCACGGCCATCGCCTAGTGAACTCGTGCACCGCTTCCGGCCCCTCACCATGGACGCGCCCGTCGTCATGACCTGCGGCCTTCACCATGGCCGCACACGACAAGGACCTGGCACCGGAATGCCTCCGACCAGCAGCGCTGCGAGGAGCGATGAGGTACAAAGGAGGAGGGTACCATCGTCGGCGCTAGGCTGAGCCACGGGAGATGACATGGCCTCCTCCTGCCATGGACGGACCCATGCCTATTCAAATGTTGCAACCGTCACATAAAACAACTCTAATAGTTGTTAAAAAAAGCTTCAATCGGACTGCCCAACAAGGAAAAGCTACAACCATTTGACACAAAAGCTTCAATCATAGATAGAGAAAAGCTTCAACCACGGCACCACGCAAGCGGAAAAGAATTGCAACCATTTTGACAAAAAAGCTTCAACCACGATACGAGTGTTGCAACCATTGACAAAAAAGGTTTAAGTGTATAGAGAAAAAGGCTTCAACCATAAACAGGGGAAGCTTCAACCAGCCAAATCAAAATAAAAAAGTTGCAACCCTTGTGAAAAAAGCTTCAGTCCTAGGTGAAAAAAAGCTTCAATTGGTACGATGGAAAGCTTCAATCTGCGAGAAAAGCTTCAACCGGCATAAAAAAAGCTTCAGTCGATGAGATAAAAAGCTTCAACCTGACTCACCAATGGCGGCGAGCGGCGACATTGAGAGCTGCGTCGGTGACACGACAATGCAACAACGATGGCAGCTGCTAGGTGCTGCAATGACAGAGGGTGCCGGTGTGAGGGGAGAGGGCTTCCTGCTGGACCGGGGGGGCGAGTACGGATGCTGCGACGGCGACGAGGACGGCAACCGACGGCAATGGGGGCGGAGAGCGCATCCAACGACGTGGGATTGCGGGAGGAAGGAGGTCCAGGTGAGGGGGGTAGTCGCCGACGGTAGGAGCGGCCAAGGTAGGCGTGCGATGAAGAAGAAGAAGAAGAAGAAGAAGAAGAAGAAGAAGAAGAAGAAGTCAACGCAGGGGGACGGGTTGTTGGGGAACGTAGTAATTTAAAAAAAATTCATACGCACACACAAGATCATGGTGATGCATAGAAACGAGAGGGAAGAGTATCGTCCACGTACCCTCGTAGACCGAATGCGGAAGCATTAGCACAACGTGGTTGATGTAGTCGTACATCTTCACGATCCGATCGATCCAAGTATCGAACGCACGGCACCTCCGAGTTCTGCACACGTTCAACTCGATGACGTCCCCTGAGCTCCAATCCAACAAAGCTTCACAAGAGAGTTTCGTCAGCACGACGACGTGGTGACGGTGATGATGATGCTACCGACGCAGGGCTTTGCCTAAACACCGCTATGATATAATCGAGGTGTATTATGGTGGAAGGGGGCACCAGACACGGCTAGGGGATCAATGATCAACTTGTGTGTCTAGAGGTGCCCCTGCCCCCGTATATAAAGGAGCAAGGGGTGGAGGCCGGTCTGCCCTCTATGGCGCGCCAGGAGGAGGAGTCCTCCTAGTAGGAGTAGGACTCCCCTCTTTCCTACTCCTACTAGGAGGGGGAAAGGAAGGGAGGGAGGGAGAAGGAAAGGGGGCGCCCCCCCCCCTCTCCTAGTCCAATTCGGACCAGAGGGGAGGGGCGTGCGGCCTACCCTAGGCCAGCCCCCCCTCTCTCTCCACTAAGGCCCATAAGGCCCATTATTTCGCCCGGGGGGTTCCTGTAACCCTCCGGCACTCCGGTTTTATCCAAAATCACCCGGAACACTTCCAATGTCCGAATATATTCGTCCAATATATCGATCTTTACGTCTCGACCATTTCGAGACTCCTCGTCATGTCCATGATAATATCCGGAACTCCGAACTACCTTCGGTACATCAAAACACAAAAACTCATAATACGATCGTCACTGAACTTTAAGCGTGCGGACCCTACGGGTTCGAGAACTATGTAGACATGACCGAGACACGTCTCTGGTCAATAACCAATAGCGGAATCTGGATGCTCATATTGTCTCCCACATATTCTACGAAGATCTTTATCGGTCAAACCGCATAACAACATACGTTGTTCCCTTTATCATCGGTACATTATTTGCCCAAGATTCGATCGGCGATATCTCAATACCTAGTTCAATATCGTTACCGGCAAGTCTCTTTACTCGTTCCATAATACATCATTCCGCAACTAACGCATTAGTTATAATGCTTGCAAGGCTTATAGTGATGTGCATTACCGAATGGGCCCAGAGATACCTTTCCGACAATGGGAGTGACATGAGTACAAGGTGTCCGCGTGTATTAGGTGGTAGTGACATGAGTACATAATTTGCATGGGTGAATAAATACACCTTTTGTTAAAAGTATGTTCTTCCTGCATAGCTACATATATATAACCCAACAAAAACGCCTAACCTTTTATCAATACGAAAACAACATATTCACATGCATATGAGCAACGCTACGTTGTGAATAAACATTAGATACCGGCTAAAGCTCATACCATAAAATAAGAGAGAACCGTCAATTTAGAAACAACTAGCTAAATACCCGTGCGTTGCAATGGGCCAACTTTATGTATGTATTTCAACCAGAATTTTTCTGATTTGGTTGAGATTGAGATATGCTATGAGGAGAGAATCCATAGGCAAAGCTAAATACCCGTTGTTGTTTGCTTGCAAGTGATTTCTTTCCCAATAAACAAGGAGGTGAGGGTTTGTT